GGGGGGGCGGGGCCGGGCTGGTGCCGGCTCTCCCCTGCTGCCACGGGGCAGGTGCACCGCGCACATGGGAGCATGGCGGGGGCAACTGGGGCAATTTGCCCCCAAGGGCCCCCTGCCTCAGCCGGTGCACCGCTGGCCCCTGCCCTGCCCTGCCACGCTGCTCGCCGGGATCATCGGTGTTTTGTTTTCATAGAAAAGAGGAGCTCGGTGCTGGCGCCTGAGGTGACACCGACTGGTTCTCAACGTGGGACTGTGACATTATGGGACCGTCCCTCACCGCGAAGTACACAATACATACTCGTGTGTGAAACAGATGCTAATTTGAGGCTTATGTGCTTGCTGCGTTGCTGTCCAAGGGTGGGGGGGTGTCCTAAAGCAGTCACGGTAAGGTCACATCTTTATCTCTGGGCAGCAAGAGAGACAAGATGGATCAGGCAGGATTATGATCGGCCTCGCCTGGGGCCTAGGCGGAGTAGCTCTGATTACAGCCTGTTGTGGGGAGAGAAGGAGCAGGGAAGCCCCTGGTGGCTGGGGGGCACCCTGGTAAGATGGGAGCTCCCATAGACGCACTGTCAGCAGCAGGTGCGGGGGGCATGGCAAGCACAACCACCCACAGATGCCGCCAGCAGTGTCAGTGGCAGCCAGCGGTGATCGCTGATGTCGGCGGTGGGGGTGGCAAGCGGTGACCGCTGGCGGTGCCTTTTCATAGGGGGCGCCGCCACGCTCAGGGGGTGCACGTGCGCCCCCTACGCATCACCAGTGCAGGGAAGGTTTAAGGAGGGCTCTGTGGCAGAGCAGGCCCGTTGTCACAGAAAGACCCCCCCAAGGAAAGAGTTCAAGTTGTGAGTGAATGTAAGCTCTGTGGGTTCTTAAGGGCCAAAGTCAGAAATGAATTTGCAAGAATATAATAAGTAAAATGATATATATTGTTTTCTTTATATTTGCCAAGGAAAATAACAACATTAGACATAACACATGTTGAGGCTGAAATTGGTTGCTTATTTCCAGTTCCTTTTTCAAAGCTAATCCACATCCAGTAAAAGCTTGTTATTAATGAATTACACATCCTAAAGAGAGAGGATTTCATTAGCTATGCAGATGTACAAAATTAAGCCCTGTACCATTCCAGATTCTGCCACGGAGGTGTGAACGATAACTGGAGAAAAATGTACACTGAATTTTCATGCAGAAGCTGTACACTATTTTCATGCAGTCCTGCAAGATGGAAAATTCTTCAGGAAACTGCAAGTCTCCTCTCTTCACTCCGATGGAACTCAAGAATCAATGCTGTTCGCCCCCTTGTGAAAAATGCTAAAAGGATGCTGGATTCTTCCTTCAAAATTGAGGAAGAATTAGACTTGACAGCAGAAACCCAGGCTGATGTCTCATTGAGTGGATGCAATCCTTTGAGTTCATCCTTCTGACTACAGTGGGGTACAAGATATTGCAGTCCATCAGTATCCAAAGCAAGCTTATCCAAGGATCCAAACTCACCATGGAAGAAGCGGTGCAACATGTCAAGAACCTCCTGGAAGAAATTTAATGGTTGAACAATTCCTGGCCAAGTCTTCTCATGGAAGCTACGGTCATTGCTAAGGGGCTATCACCATCGAATTCAAGAGAACACACAGAAGAATCCAAAGGATGAAGCATTTCCACGATGAGCCAGCCAATACAGAACACACAATCTCTTCCCCTAAAAATAAATTCAAAGTTGAAGTGTTCATCACAGCCATGGATATGCTCCTCTCAGATCTCTGAAGCTTAGCTGAGACCATGGGGAAACTCTTAAGCTTGTTCTCACCCATACTTGACCCACCAGCTGTTGCAGAGGATGAAATTGCAAAATTCGTGGCGTCCCTGTCCATCACATACCCATGTGAACAAGGATAAGTTGCAAGAAGAATGTTGCCTGTTTTACAAAATCAGGAAAGACTTAAATTTGTGCACTAGGGCTATGCGAAGCTTCGGTCCCTGATTCGATTCAGCAGAAATTCAGTCCGATTTGGTGGCTGAATCTCTGAATCCAAATAGAATCAGAGGACCTTTTAATCTCTCTGAATCAAATCAGAACCCTCCAAATCGATTCGGAGAGATTTGGACATAGACACAGCTTTAAATATTTTTTCTACATACCTCTAGGTAGCAGGTGGCTCATGAGTGCCGTGATGCTGGGGCACATGGAGTGTCCCACAGGAGCACAAGGGGCTCCCCAGTGTGCTTGGCAGCAGACCCAGAAGTGGACCAGAAGCACTTCTGGGTCTGCCGGGGAGCATGCTGGGGGGCCCCCCATGCCCACCTGGATCGGTAACTGGTGCCTCCTGGGTCTGGGGGGGGTACCCAGAATCCCCCTGCGGCTGATCGCCATGTGGGCCCCCCCCCCACTCCTATGGGACGCTTCATGCTCCCCAGCATTGCAGCGTTCACAAGTCGCACTGGTACCTGGAGGTACGTAGAAAACACTTTTAAACTGTGTCTATGTCTGAATTGCTGATTCTCCAAATTGACATTGAATCTTTAGATTTGGATTCGGCCGAATCAAATCAGGGACAGTGATCCGAATCAATTAATTGAATTACTGTCCCTGATTCAGGCTAAATCTGAATCAAATAAGGCCTGCTTTGGACACCCCTATTGTGCGCTTCTGGAGGAGCCATGGGCATTGCACTTGAGCTTCTCAACTGGATTTATGGCACAGGTGTAAAATCTGTGTTCTCTCAGATATGCATTTGCTTGAGAATGCTCATTGCCTTGCCAGTCTGTTGCATCCAGGGAACGCACTTTTAGTAAGCTTAAGATTATTAAGAACTACCTGCAGTCAGTGATTGGGGAAGACAGGCTGAACCATTTGATCATGCTGTCAGTGGAGCATGTACTTGCAAAGCAAATAAATTATAATAAATAAATTTTGATGATGTGATTGATGACTTGGCATCCATGAAGGCAAGAAAGAAATACTTTACTTTAAACTTTCCTCTTTTCATTTTGTTCTTAAGTTCCTAACTTTATAGCATAAGTTTAATAAGTGTTTCACTTGCAAACTGTTAATGTCATTTTGCTTTAGTAATCTGTCTCCAAGGTAAATTCTCTCTACCTAGCCCTTCTTGCCCCAGGAACAAGTGGGGAAAGCCCGCTTGTTGCCGCTTCCCAGGGCAAGGGAAGGAGCAGCCGCACATGAGACTTCTCACATAATGTGTGCACACAAAAATTCTTGCACCCCAGCTTTGTATACACACACATGGGTCCTTGTAGGGGGCAGTGGTGGTGCCCCCAACATCACACCTGCCCCAGGGCCCATAAACCCTTTGGGCGGCCCTGCTCAGCTCAGGTGCCCCCTCCCTGTTACCCTTCAGGGACTCTTCTCGCTGGCTGTAGGTAGAGGCAAAGGCTGAGTGTTTCTCAGCTGGGCCTGGTGCTATGGGGAAGTAGCAAGAAGGAAGAAGGGGGGGCAGTCTTACTTGGCTGCTGGTTTTCCCTAGTTACCCCCTGCAGCCAGGAGGGACTACATGGCCAATCTGAGCACCCTCCCCGCTGGTCCTGGTAGGGCAACCCAGTGCAGAGTGCTACCTGGGCACGGGTACGTGCATCTCCACTCCAAAGCAGCAATGCCTGACAAGGTCAGGTGTATGGATCAATCCTTGCTCTACTTCCTCAGAGGACAGCAAGTAGCACGCCAGGGGCCAGAATAGGACAGGGAGTGGGGCACAGGCCACCTGAAGACCAGATTTTTTGCATAGTAACCTTTGCAGATGATATGGGTGAATTGCTCAAGGGCTGAAAGTAAATTAGTTCAGATATCAAACACCCATGGTTTCTCTTTATTGAACCGCCTATTTAACCTCCGCAGGTATTGATCAATACACCTATTAATTTCACCTTGTTTTGATGAATGGCTTGAATTTAGAAGCTGTCAACAAGAAAGCAGTCTTCGTAGGAGAGGACGATGTAATGCACCAAGCAAAAGTGAGGCTGTGGCTGCCCACTCTCACTCCATTTGGAAAATTTACTAAGTTCTAGAGGATTACTCTAAGAGGTACTTCTATATGTTTTCAAGACAAGCCATAGCCTAAGAAAGAGCCCGTCATAAAGGATAGTCCTTTAGTACTAGAAAAAGACTACTTCGTTTATGAAAGGCTTACACATTTCAGACTAGATTATGGATCAAAGGGACCTGGGACAGGGAATAGTTTGTGGTAGCTATTGTATAAAGGTATCCAAATATTAAGCAAGTATTCCACTTGTTTATTTCCTATCAATAAAAGATGTCAAGAAGGAAACTAGAAACAAACTGTTTGGTAATAAGACATGAGTTAACTTAAGATATAATACAAAAAAAATGTTAAAATATAAAGCAAGTCTTTCAAAAATAAAAGTGGTATTATATATAAACAATATAAAAATACAATATAAAAAGCAAGGAATACAAAGGTCGGGTTTAATGTAAGCATCAGTCCATTGGGAAAAATTCAGATTTTAAGTGATGAATTACACATACCTTTGTGGAAAAGGTAAACGGCAAAAGAAAATGAAGTTTGTGTCTATGTTCACTTCCTTAATGCAGGGTAAGTATGGCCTGAAAGGTTAATTTTCCCCCTACACAATCTATGGACCACTGGGGAGGGGGTAAAATTGTGACGGAATCACAGTACAAGTAGTTATCTGGATTTGAGATAAGACAGTCTGAATAAAAATTGCTTCTCAAATAAGTTTGCTGATTCCAAGTAAAACAAATCTTTGCTAATGTTCCTATTCCTTCATTTAAACAGTTTTCCACATATAGTATATGTGAAGACCTCAACAATTCCTTAAAGTCAGGAAAACAACTTAAATTTGTAAAGTAAAAAGTAAGCAGAACAGACATTTAAAACCCTTTCTGCATGCATCACAATGCTGAACCTAAGAAAACTGAACCTAAGAAAGTTTTCTTCCTTTGAATTTCATTAAAAAAAAAAATTCATACAAAATCATTCATTTATAAAACATGCATTTCATATTCCAGAAATTCTTTTGTTATATCCAGTGTTTTTGATTTAAGCTGGTAACTCCTGTTTATAAAATTTTCCATAAAAATCTAAATCTTTGAGGGTTAATGATGGTTTTACAATCTTCAGTGATTTTATGAAGTGCTCGTGTTTCACTTCGGTTGCTTCAAGTCCATTCTCTTGTAATGCCAACAAGCCAGCCTTGGAGAGAAAAACAACGTGATTTAGGTAATATAGAATGTTTTCACCTGGCGGGTGCTCCAAAGTTTAAAAGTAAAAATGGGAACTAAGCTAACCATTTTACCATAATTTAGGGTCATAAGTCAAAAGACAGTCATTTAACAAAATGCATCAGAACATACTACTGCTAGTTAGTCTTTTCTTTTGTAAGCTCAGTAAATGCTTTTTACTTTAATACATCTAACAGCTTAGACCAGAAAAGATACCTTTGACCACTTATCTCTCTGTATTCTACCTGGTATCCCACTACTGTTTATAAGTACCTCAACTACCTTAGTCTCTTCTCTTGCCCCAATTTATAAATATTAATTATAGTAGGAAATGTAGTACACCAAACCCTATTTATCATGATTTCTTTGAAAAGGAAGTGTGGAATTAAGGACAGGTTCTACAACATCTGTGAGACCAGTTTCTTAAAATGTGTGTGTTAGTTGGAGTTATAAAAAACCGTCAGTGTGAAAGTTCAGCTTTAGGTTTGTCTGGCATGATTTCACTTTAATTTGTTATTAGAACATATGGCTTGCATTCCTCTTTTTAGTGCTACTTCAGGGGTGGCCAACCCATAGCATGGGCAGCCTTCATGTGATCTGTGGCAGATGAAGGGTGGGGGACAGGCAAGCACAGTAGCAGATAAGGTAGGAAGCAGAAGGCAAGACGGAGTACAGGGCAGGAAACAGAAAGCAGAGCAGGAGATTGGGCAGAGAGCACAGTGTAGGGGACAGAAAGGAAAGCAGCAAATCTGGCAGAAGAAAGGATTAGAATGGCACGTGGGGAAGGTGTAGAGCTCATTTGTGGCTTGCCTGCCAGAAAGGTTGCCCCAACAATGTGCTACTCTCTGCTTCAACAAAATGGAAAGAGCAGACCCCAGCAGAACCTGGGAAATGGAAGAGAGAGAGGAAATGCCACTTTTTGGCAGCATGCAATCTTCAACAGGCAGTCCCTGCTTCTGTGTGGGGTAGCTGTAGCAAAGGACAACAAGCTGCCCTTTACTTCCTTTGGCCAGTGGATCTATGCCTGGGTTGTTGATAATAAAGAAGCAGACATTTGCACTCTGTGCTGGCACTTTCAGGAAGTGTCTTCATGCCCCAATTGTCTAATTGCAACACAACTCCTGTAGGAGCCGTTTGGTCCAATCCTTCCACGGGATTGAGCATTTCCCTCCTCCCCAGTAATTTAATGGTGTGAAGTTGCATCTCCCTTTCTCCTACCACTTTATATAATCATTTCCCACTGCAGGGAGTTTATGAGCTCCACAGACTCCCTCATCAGGGTACTATCACAAAAGCTTCAGTTTGGTCCACAACGATTATAATTTTTCATTTACTTAATTTCTGAAGTTGAACCAACCATCTATTTTAAAGAGTGGTCAATTCCTCAGAGTTGACATAAAATTATTCTCAAAGAACTTGTAAAAATAACTGCTTTAGCTTCACCACTTCCACACAGTGAATGGCAGGAATATAGTGTCATTTCCCCCCTGCTTGCCAAGATCAGTTCTAATTCACATAAATAATTTATTTGCAGGTCCCCCAATTTTTATCATTTGGCTTATCTTTGTCACTAAAAATTGCCAAAAAGACTGTGTGATAGCTCAGCATTTTCTATGATTGGACACTCTCTTTACTTAAGTATTCGCTTAATATTTACTTCACTGATCAAGTCCAAACACCTTACCTCCTTGCAGAGATTTCCAATATCAGCTCCAGAGAAAAGTTTAGTTTGGACTGCCAAGTCTTCTAATGACACATCTGAAGCCAGTGGAGTTTTTTCAGTGCAGATTTTGAAAACAGAAAGCCTTCCCTATGAGACAATGTATGTTACACAAGGAGAAAAACAAACAAACAGTTATTTGGGCACCTATTTGTTTCATTAATAGCACTTGTTATGGGCTATTTTCTGCCGCCTAACTCATGCCAGTTAGTCTTATTCTGCAAGTTGTCTTGTTCATTTCAATCAGACTATTCAGGGAATATTGAGTGAACCTGACAGAATTTGACTATTGATCTTCTGAGCTCAAGTACACTAAAATACAGTAAGAGGAAATAAAGTACACATCTTGTTTCTGAAAAACCATGTTAAGAAACATCCTTGTGGTAAATTCCCATTACTCCTCCGGAGCTTGGTTATGTGGCCAAATGGCTGAGGACAAGCAAAACTAGGGGCCTCCAAACTCCAAGCCTCTGGGCTTGGGCCTGCAAGTAGGATGCCTACCAAAGGATTTGGAAACATCTGAAATAACATATAGAAATAAGCCCCAGATGGGGGTGGAAGATGTTTGCCACACTAGGGCCACTTATGGTTCTGGACTGACTCACAGATTTGGAATTTGATTTGGCAAATTTGGCTTGGAATATGGAAATTAACATAAAAAAAAAGAAGTTCCCATTAGCATGGCTGCTCAATGTGGGCCATGTGTTTTAGTCATGCTCAATATTGGCTGCATTTAATCAATTTCATAGTTGGTTTCCATGGCTGAACACATGCTGCTTTTATCAGTAATTTAATGACAGACAATGTATTTAGTGAGATTTTGTTGTATGCGATTATCAGAGGGGACTCCCCCCCCCCCCCCCCCACAAACGCCAATTGGGGGGGAAAGGACCTCATCTTGTTTTCAAGTAAATAAAGTATATTTTGCGTTTGGGCTGCTGTGATCCTATTGATCTGAAGGACAGTAGGTGTTACAGTTTTCAACAAGAGACTCTCTCTCCACTAACTTTTACAATTCACACAGCCCTTCTTAATAATAATAATAAAAATCACTAGGCTGCCATTTGTTGTTTTCCTTTGTACCTTGAATTCTCAACCTCAAATAGGTACAATAATTTCAACAGGATGCAAAAACAAAAGAAAACCTAAACATTATACTATACATGCTATTGAGGAGCAGGAAAGAATGGCTGATAGAATGGGCTGTGATGCTTATTATGGTAAAGGTTCCATCATGTTAAATCCCTTTTGTAGTTTTTTGTCATTTATTAAACCAAAAGCCTTTTTGGCTGAAATTTTCCATGTTTGTTTTCTGTCATAGATGGGTTATTTTTAGAGTGTTCAGTAGAGATAACTCAACCATTCCTGAGAAAAGGGATAACGAAAAATTTGACCTGGGCACAGGCAACCTTAATTCTGGCACTTCCTATCTTGCACATCTGATTGTACAGGAATATTATATGTAACATATATAATGAAGTATTGCCTACAAAAGCTTGTTAAAATATGTTACACACAATCAGACGTCCTTTTATATGCATTTATAATTCCTATGTTATAGTCAAATATACATTATTTAACTTCTAGCACATCAAATATTAACATCTAGTTAAAAAAATCTTGCAGTTGTTAAGAGATATTATAGTACTATGAGTTTTTCTTGTTTGGATGCAGCATGCTGACAACTCTGCACCTCTATATTTATTTTTTTGTGGAGGTTTATAAACACATATTACCTTCTGATCTGGTGGTGGAATATAGATCATTTTGTCTAACCTTCCAGGGCGCAACAAGGCATCATCCAACATGTCTGGTCTATTCGTTGCAGCAACTATCATAACATCTGTGTTCAAAACTTCTTGAAACTCTAGCTGAATAAGATCAAGAGTGCAAATGTGTTGAATGTGTATTGGGAGGCTCCTGCTTTGTTAGGTGGACAAACATAATTTGCAAGGGAATAAAAAGCAATAAGGAATAAATCATAGGCTGCAGAACGGGGTGGGCCACCTGGGCCATGGCCCGACCAACTTATAGCATGCTAATTTATAAAACCCACAAATGCGCAATTGTCATTCTAGTTAAAACTGTATAGCTATTTTTTTTTTTTTAACTGCATAGCTAGCTAAATTAACGTGCTAAAAGTTGGTTGAGCCATGGCCTGGGTGGCTCACCTTGTTCTGTGGTGTATGGAATAAATACATATACCTATATCTGTGTTCACTGTAACCACTTAACTTTTCTTTACTTGTGCAGACTAACAAGGAAATAAATACAAGGAAGAAAAATAATATCTGTTCTGCTAACAGATGAAACTTTGGATAGAGCTAACAAGAGCATGCATCAGTCAGTGTGTGAAGATAAGACTCCTGTTTCATACATTTTTAAGGGTTTATATAACCTTGGAATTTTCAAAATGGCAACAAGGTTGAAAAAGAAAGCATAATATGATTACTCTACAGTGACATAAATCTGACACCAGATAATGAGAAATAGATGGTTACTAGTCATTTAAAGAATTCCTTAAATGTAACCAGGAATTTAGTTTTAAATGGAATCAAGATCAAATGCAGCGTATAGAAATCATTTGGGTTAGAGGGCTTCAGGATAAAACAACTGTAAAGTAAGTAACAAAAGCCAAAATGCTCAAATTGCATATTTTAAACAGGATTCACACTGAACAAAAGTAGCAAACATGAGATCAGCAAATGAAACAGAAGAAAGCTAAACAGGTAACAAGGTTATTAAATATTAACTTGCTAATAAAAGAACTGAGTGTCACAGTATTCGAACATATGAAGGGTCAAAGGAATTAAAAACAAGTCAGTCAGACAGAAATAAAGGAATCAAGGATGATGAAGTAAGAGCAAGGGTAAAATAATGGCGGTGACAGACCTGAACTCTTCACTATGCCAGGAATAGGACTGAGTGCGTTACTCCACCTTACTAAAACCCATTTTAACAGCATAGCGCAAGTATGTACCATACAGAAATAGCACCCTCTCTCTCTCTTTTAAAGTGGCTTTATGTCCGTCTGAAATTTTTTAAGTGGCACATCACCACGTGATTACAGAAAAAGTAACTGTAATAAGGAAGATGACAAGGCATCTTATCAACAGCTCTCTCAAAAATGCACTTGCAGCTTTCTAAAGAAATGAATACTGCTCATAACTATTGATTGTGATTTTAAGACTGCATTGGATAACTCTGTGATAGAGTAGCATAAACATGGGAAATAAACTAGAGAAGGGAAAACATTAAGCAGTGTAAAAGACTTAAAAAAAAAAAAAAAATCAAAAAAATCAGTAGCCTGAGGAAGAAATAGCCCTTATGACAGCTAATAAATATTTATAATTAGCAATAGTAAGAGGTTATAATTTTGTCTTTAATATTTTGTTCAATCAAAATGAATTTACATTAAAAAAAAGTCACTTAATTAGTATTGGATTAGTGTTTTAGCAAAGGTAGACCATAAATAAGGCTGAAGATAACTACAACATTAAAAGCCAATAAGTATCCTTCCTTGTATTACAGAGAATGTACATACCTCTTGCTCTTTTTCATTTTGCTCTTGACATTCACCCTCGAGCTGTTTATAACTTCCTCTTCTCTCTGTGACTTTCAGGCCAACACCATCTAATTCATTGAGAAGGGCAGAAAGAACCCTCTCTGGGACACCATGTCCAGATTTGCAGAGTGACCGAGATCCTAAGATAGAATCAATCTCATCCAGGAATACTACTGCTGGAGCATTTGCTCTTGCTTGGCGAAAAACCTTTTATTGGGTTCATAAAATAAAATAAATGTATGTCCTATATACAGTTCTATCATGTCAACTGAAAATTCTTTTGACATCTTTTCTATACTTTTACATAACCAATTCACTTTACCGAGTACTCAAGGTATTGTAAAGGTCTCTTTGGAGACCACTCTTGTTTACAATTACTAAAGACAAAATCTCATTACTGAATTCTAACCTTAACTAGAATTAGGAGAATGAGTATGTTAATTGTTAATTTGGGGCCAGATCCTCAGCTGGTGTAAACAGAAGCAGCTTCCTCAAAATCAAGGGAGCTATGTCAATCCAGCCCTTAATGTCTTTGAAAAGAAAAGTTAGGCATAATTAATGCTTTATAAAACATTGTAGCTAAGCAACTATGTATCATATGCAAGTCAGAACCTACCTGGGCCAAAATCTTCTCTGAGTCTCCAACGTAAGGTGAAAAAAGGTCAGCGCCACTCACAGAAAGAAAGGAACAATGGCAGCTTGTGGCCACAGCCTTTACCAGTGTGGTTTTGCCACATCCTGATGGCCCATAAAGGAGGATACCCTTTGGATGAGACAGTCCCATCCTAACAAAAGCCTGAGGGAACTTCATAGGCCACTCTATGCTCTGCAAATATATAAAAAAGATGAAACATTCTAAGTTTTATATGTAGTGATGCAACAAACAACATTTTGCCCATAGCATTATTTTCTCACTTTGCATCACTGCTGCAGCAAAAGCCTCCAGTCAAATTCAAAGGCCCACTTGAGCACAACAGTCCACCAGGTAAGTGCAGTTGTAAAATATTGGTTGCTACAGGCAATATGAGGGAGTAAGTGGCTAGCATCACACCTGGCCACTTTGAGTCTCCAGATGAATGACTAGAAACATATTAATTTACAGATGGGTCTGAACAAGTCCAGAGCACCACAACCCCACAACTCTGGAGCCATAGCAAGACACTGACAAATTTGACCTTTTTGTTACAAAAGAGATGGCGTAACAGGCAGTATGTTCTGAGGACATGTTGGCTCTGGAACTGTCTCTGTCTCTCCCCCTCTCAAATGGCTCAGACTTATAGATGTTGTAAAAGGAATTTTTAGCAGAAGGCTGAAGATTTTTCACTAGAATGGAAGAATGTATGCTGCAGCAGAATTTGATATTTACTAGCTAAAACACTAATTCTAGATTATACTTTTGGGTGATGTTCTGAAATTGCAAATTTAATTGGGGGGAGTCTAGAGCTTGTGCAAAGGCATTTTTTGTTTTATTTTAAGAAAAGTGTAGCACTAATTAGCAATCAATGCCATTTAAAATAAAAATTGTTTTTCATGGAAATGGTATTAGTCTATCTTTCAATACCTCTATTTATACAACAGGTTGGAAGACGCAGATGCATAAAATGATCTTTTTTTCTTGTTTAAATGTGCTCTACCTTTTACCTGTTTTAACTTCAATTTCACATCCTCAAGACCGCCGATTTGTTCCCAGGTAACAGGTCTGAAGTCTGTTAGTCCAATACCACTTCGAAAGGAGGATGGTTGAATCTTTCGGAAAGCTTCACAGAAATCTGCTGTATTAATCCAAATCTGATCCAAATCCTGAAGACATGCTCACAGAAGAAATAAAAAAAAAAAAAAAAAGTGAAGCACTATGTGTGCCTTTATATCACTAATAACTTAAAGCTCAAAACATGTAATAGGTGAAACAAAACTCTTGCCTTAAGAGTGTACATATACCATACATACATACAAACGTGCACCACAAGTAGCTCACATTTGCTGCGATGGGATAGGCTTTTTTATGGCACAGGGCCGGACAGTTTTAAAGAAATTAATATTTGAGAGGGAAGTGCTTTGATTTTCTCCTCAACATAGTTCTGCTATGTAGTATCCAAGTAAGGCAAAACTACTGATAGTTTTAGTCTACAAAAATACCTAGATTCTCTGGGATACAAGTAAAATCTCTCTACTTACTTATGTATTTACTATATTTACTTTAGCTATGTACCAAACATAGCTGACTGCAAGGCTCACCTCAAACATCCTATAATTTAGCCACAATCCAAAAAGCTTAAAACAGACACACACCTATTTAGTTCTCATCTGCAAGTTACGTAACATTTCATCACAGCCCAGGTACCGTTCAAAGCTCTGCTTAGCCTCGTCCAAAATAAGTGAACTTCATCATTATGATTCATCAGCAGTAGTTCCCCAGACAACACAGGAAGCTTCGGGGAGACCAGTCTCAGGCAGCTTATAGTGATATAATCTAAAAACACCTGAGTTCTATCTATACTACTAATAGCTTCCACCAGTGATGACTTAAATTTATGAAGGTAGTTAGCAGAAATGCATCACAAAGAAAAGCAATGCTGTATATGTCAGTTATAAATGCTAAAAAAACCCTGAAGTCTAGGAGCTGTTGAATCCTTTCTTTATCTGGGCATGCTATTCACTTCCCTGTTTGCTGAACACTGCAGAAACTACTAACAAGTTGCACTTTGCAGAGGCAGCTCTGGTTTATTTTTTGTCTATCTTTTAGCAGAATGATTGGTGTTTGTGTGGCTCCTGGGCCACATTTATTTTAACTGTTTCATTTTGTACAACATTCCTG